TTACCTGCATATTTCTTAGTCAATAAACTTCGGTTTTTAGAAAACCTTTAAAAAAATTTCTTGTCCCCTGAGGAAGAGTATGGTCATATAACACCTATTAACACAACGCATAACTTAGCAAAGTACCAATATCTTCACTTTTTGCCGAATAAGGTTCTCGATTTCCCTATAACTGTAGGAACACCCAATGTCCAATGTCAAAAAATTAAAGCTATAAAATTTTGGAAACTTCCTGTATGTATACAATTACAAATATAAATAAACAGATGAACAAATATACATACGTGTGTTTTTTCCAGCATTCTTCCGCAACTCCTGATACCCAAGCAAACCAGAGAACCACTAAAACTTTTTTTATCAATAGTTAACTACATCCCATAAGAAAAACAAAACTATTTCCCCTTTAAACGAGCCAAGAACAATATCGAGTTTGTTCAAAGCACCGGCTTCTATTAAACAGCTGTACCCACGCCTAGGTAACAACTGGTCATAAACAGTTCATAAAGCCTACCAGAACCTTCATATCTTTCAACCAGAAAAATCACAAATGGTCAGATAATAAGTTTAATAAACTGAAAATACTCAAAAACAACCAACAGTTAGCAAAATAATAACGAACTCCAAATTTATAATTCAAAGTACTTTGGGCTTATAACTACAGCGAATTTGATAACGCAGCAAAGTTCAGTTCACTCAGTTAAAGGATGCCAATAGCTCAACATTCAAGGAACCGTAACAGTTACACCATCGCATCGTTCTATCCACCAACAATGATATTATTGATTGGAATGTGGATGAGTTTTACAAAGAATCCAATAAATCCCATAACGGCAAACCCAATAGCCGTAGCCATCGCTATTTTTTGGTATTCTAAATTTAGAAGATATCTGCTGTTGAGTAATAATAAAAGCGTCACCAAAGGTTACGCTTAAAGTCAGTTTTAAAGAAAACCATTTATTGCAAAAAACTAAATCAATATTCACTATTTCATATAAAAATTTCTCCACTGGTTCAAAAAGCACTAGTTTCCTAAAAAAGCAATTAACCTAAGTGCTTCTTCCGCATTGAGTAAAACTTCACTCAAAATATGAAAAAAAACTTCGAACTTCATTTTTAGAAAATAAAATGTAATGGAATACAGAACCGTCCTAATACTGCCATTTCTGCCACTTAATAACCACCCCGTTAGTAAATCATAAATTGATTGGCATAAAGAATATCCAGAACTGAACCTTCTTTTCGTTTGTTAGGAAGAAAAAACTAAAAAAATAAATCCCCAGCATATATATATATATATATATATATATATATATATAT